TTGTTGCGACTTCTGCGCGGCCTTTTTGATCTGTCTCGTTTTCCGTGTTCCTTATCTGCTGTATTATCATGCCTCTGTGTTCTTTGACCGTGGCTTTGGACCACAAGCTGACCTTCCGTGCCCTAGGCCGTGTCGGTCGGTTTGTGTGAAACCCATGACTTGGTTCAATTAGGGTGCTTCTTGAGCTGATTCTAACACATCGAGGACCTTTCATTTCGTACCTGTCTCATGTACTTTAGGAGAGATTCCAATAGATAGCAGCGGGGGGAAGTGGGGGGGGGGGGGAGAAATGTTCGTTGTCCTGTTTCACTTCATTACCAGACGAGACAGACAACTTAGCTAAAGAAAAACAAATCTTGAAAAATAGCAAACATTTTCGTTCTGCATCGTCACCCTTCAGGTTCCTATCTATGTGTACATACGCACACTAACAGTTGAAGGTGTTATAACAATACTAGTTAATTGTTCTTTTAGATGTTTCTCTTTCAACATCCATGGCTGCGATTGCAGCAACAATGGAAGTATTAGCGGTAGTAAACGTGTGTTGTTTTTTCCCTCACCACAGAGGATTTTTATCCTAAGCAGTTTTCGTCTTAAGTCCCTGCCGTGTGGCGTTGGTAGTCATGTCTAACCACAACATTCGGTCTCGTGTACTTTTGGACAAATCTAACACAGATGATCCCCCGTGCCATGATTTAAAACTGTTGAGCATCTTTTGTCTCAGTCTTCCTCTGTCTCTCCTCACCTCCAATTTTCCTCCTGTCAGGATGTATGCCAGTTTTGACCTTCTTATCACATGACGAAAGGATGTAGCTTGTCTTTTTCAGGTGTGAGCCAGTCGGTTTCTTTCAAGACATCTGCATTACTCTTTTTATCTGTCCAGGATATTTTCATTATTCGTCTACAAAGCCACACCTCCACATCTTCCAAAAAGTTTTCTCTAATTTACCAACTGTCCATGATTTACTTCCATCTATCAAGATAGGATTAATAAAGCTTCCAAGAATTATCTTTCCCATCTCAACTGACGAAGAAAGATTGCATAAAATATTCTTCATTTTGTAAACTGTTGCCCTTGCTTGAGCTATTCTACATTTCACATCCCTAATACATCTTCCATCTGATGTTATCAGGGTACCCAAGTACTTAAACATATCACATTGCTTGAGGATTGTGCCATTTCCTTTGATGTTGCATTTTGGAGGGTCAGTTTTTTTGGTGTAATTACTCTTACTTCTGTTTTTTTTTTTTTTTTTGGTTCAAACTAAGGTCCTTGTTATCACTTTCCGTTACAATTATATCCATTGCAGTCATGTTTCATTTTCAGCGATCAAAACTTTATCGTCAGCATATCGCAGGTTGTTAACAATATGCCCAGCAACCTATATTCCTGGCATATCATGCAATAATTAGCTTTAGATTTGCTTTTCGTAGGTGATCCGTACTGTAAATCTAAGTTATTTATCAAGTACAGTACAGGTAGTATGCAGACCTTCTCTTGCAAGAGCCACAGTATTTGAAATTATGTCCTACCTCTTGATTTTCAGCACTTATGGTGGACAGGTTAAATAGGGGTATAGTTTCATTGTCTAGACCAGCTGTTCTTAGAGTACAGAGTACTCAGTCAGGGCAATCCTCTGGTAGTTGACCTTTCCGTAGCCTCTCTTGTAGATCAGCTCTCGGACTGTCTTCAGGTTGGGGACTCACCAAGCGACGTATGGCTCCACAATCTTCAGCATGTTCAGTGTTGCCTTGTTGAGTCTGACGAAGACACCGTTGTTGATCTGCCTCAGCCTGAAAAGCTGGAGAGCTTTTCTTTGCCGCGGGTGGATGCCATTGATACCCCGTATCCTAATGGCAAAAGACAACTTAGGCTCGGCAGGGACATAGAAGTTTCCACTCTTCTTTGCGATGCGAGCAAGTCGGATCTCATTGCGCTCCTTGGCCTGGTACTCCTTGGCATATTTCTCCACTCGCTTGAACAAAACTTTCATTGTGGCTGCTCGTTTCTTTTTGTAGGCTGCTGCTACCTTCAGGGCCCTAGACTTGCAGGCAGCAACAATCTGCCGCCTCTTCAAGATCGACTCAAGTACTCGGGGTACTTCCTTGACCTGCTTGTCAGCCATCCCGGTATTTGTGAAAAAGGCTTCCTTATCGAATACCCCAATTATAACTTTAGCATTCATGTTGAACAGATGCTGCAGGAGACAGAGCATCTATGGGTATGCCTGGTGTGCTATGCTGTCGATTCTTAAATTAGTAAATCAGTTGAACAGGGTTTACAGATTTAAAAGGAATGCCCTAATATACACACACACATTGTTTCCATCTCTCAGGGCAAGGGACATTCAGAGGCTGCACCAATCGAGACGACACAGAAGGGTGCAGACCTATCACCATCAACAACAGAGAACACACGGGATGTCTGAGCGTTTGCAGTTGGGAGGGATGCAATTCTTCTCAAGGGGAAGTACTGGCTCTCTTGATGAAAAACAGATAAAAGGATAACTTCCCCTGCTTCCACAAACCTGACCTGTTTGAGACTGTTTTGGTGGAAGATGCAATCTCATTACTGTTCCAGTGTTTCGGGATTACATGCGTTTTACTCGTGTGAACCCTTTTCTATTTACACCCCTCCATTCTCCATCCTTTTTCTCATGTCCGCGTGCTCCTTCTTCTTTCCATCCTCCTCATACTCTTCTTTCTGCTCCACCTCTCCCTCCCCCTCCTTTTTCTTACTTTTCTTCATCTTCTTCTTTTTCTTCTTCTTCTTGTTTTTGTTTTTGTTCTTGTTTCTCTTCTTCTTCTTTTTCTTCTTCTTCTTCTTCTTCTTCTTCTTCTTCTTCTTCTTCTTCTTCTTCTTCTTCTTCTTCTTCTTCTTCTTCTTCTTCTTTTTCTTCTTCTTCTTCTTCTTCTTCTTCTTCTTCTTCTTCTTCTTCTTCTTCTTCTTCTTCTTCTTCTTCTTCTTCTTCTTCTTCTTCTTCTTCTTCTTCTTCTTCTTCTTCTTCTTTCTTCTCTTCTTTTTCTTCTTCTTCTTCTTCTTCTTCTTCTTCTTCTTCTTCTTCTTCTTCTTCTTCTTCTTCTTCTTCTTCTTCTTCTTCTTCTTCTTCTTCTTCTTCTTCTTCTTCTTCTTCTTCATGCTGGGTTGGCTTGGATGTTGAATCTAACGTCGTCCACATAATTACCTCTTACAACATACATGTGATTACAGTATTACTTTTCATTACCCACTCTCAAGGGCCCCTTCACTACATGCATACTCTTAATGCTTACATATAGAGGAAGCTGATCTTCCACGATTTTTCTTTCTGACATTCTGTGCCCCGCCCCCCTTTCCCCCCAAGTTAATATGCAAATTAATTAAATGGGCTCACCTACAGCCACGCTGTTGAAATACAAAGAATAGGAAAGCACAATAGGGAAGCATTATTCATTTACTATTTCAACTTAATAAACGATGTTGCAATGAGGCCTTAACCGTAAAAACCCACCAAACCCCTTGAAATTAACGTTACCACAAAACAAGTACATCATCATTATGTGCCCCCCCAACTGGTGTAGGCGCTTATGCGTCTCCACAGGATCACGATCCCTGGTGGCCTGGAACAGCTCTCTTGATGATATCCCTCCATTTCATCGTTTCAGCCCATCCAGCATCATCTCTCTTGGTCTGCTTCTACCACTTTTCCCACTGATCTTTCTAGTAATCTCGATATTCTCCAATGTCTCTCTTCTCATTTTATGGCCAAAGAACAGTTTTTGTCTCTTTCTTATTGTTGTATATAGAGATCTACTTTCATTAGCTTCTTTAAAGCAATCGAGAAGTGCGAGAATTATAATAACGTAACTCACTTCAAGGATTATATTACTTTATGTAAGCATTCCCTTGTGGGTCCTGGGGCACACCGCCCCATAATAAGAATGTCATAAAAGACGAATCATTATGGGTTTTTTCTTTATAGATTTAGTGCATCTGCCTGAGGGGCAAGTAACAGTCTGCATATTAAAAAAAAATCCAAAATCTGTAAAACGGTTGTGCATGCAAAACTAATGTTCTGAAACAAAGCCAAAGTCCAGAAGTGGAGAAACAACCAGAACTTTCATCAAGGGTTTGCAGCCGGTCAACACGAAGAAGATATTTAATCAAATTTAGAGCTGATTGTACAATAAGTACCGTATACGTAATTTCCTTTTGCTTGTTCATTTCGTTTATTTAAATTTTACCAGGTAACTTAAATGAAATTTCAAGTTAAAAGCTAAGTCGAGGGGCCGACCAACACGAAGATGAGAACAGGATCTAAGTGCCCCTTTAAATATGAAAGTGCTCGAGGCGGGAGAGTTGACAAGAGACCGAGTTTCCTTCAGGCAGACCGTGGTGAGAGCGACGTTTTGCAAATAACATGCTACATGATGTTTATGACAATGCTTATGAAATAGCCACAGCGTCAGATGTTTTTCTTTCATTATAAAATTAACTTATCCTTTAAGTATGTCTAATGTTTAGGAATGCTTCCCTATGTATGTTGACTTTGCCTGTCCACATTCCCAGATTTTGCTGTTTTCACTAGTTTTTATATGTGAATTCTAAACTGAACCATGAGTTTAGTGGAGTTGAGTCAAGAATTGAAATCACAGCACTCGGGGCATTTCCATGCATCCTCATCTTGAGCAGCCAGCGCAGAGTTCCAATACTGATAGTACCCGTCACAATCTGATTAAAAAATCTGTCTTGCCTTTCCTCTGAGTGTAGTGAGCCGGCCAGACCCTCTGGTTACACCCAGGTGACTCATTCTCTCCAGGCCTTAATAATCTTCTTTCTCTACTGATTCCTTTGCTAGTTTCCTAAGGGCCTTCACCACATCTGTATGGTCATGTAAATAATTCACCACCCAGTGGTGCGGATCCAGCCAATCTGTCTGCCTGTTCATTACCCACCACGCCGGCAGTGCCTGCAGAAAAGATCCAAAGTATGCTCACCACCCTTGACCTTTCCAGTGAAGCTAGCCACTCTGCTTGAAGCGTGTCCTCAACTGAACCATAAAAACCAAGCATCAAAAGGTTACTAATTTGTATTACACAGTTTTAACTCTTTCATTTTCTGCAGTGATAAATCAAGAACTGCAATCTGTTCTTCTTTATCTTGGCGTTCACCGGTCCTAAACTCTGGCAGAAAGTTATGGTTATTTGTTCATCTCTAGACTTTAGTTTTGTCCCAGAACCTGACTGTTGCGTGTACACCCGCTTTACAGATTTGATTTCTTTGTACGCAGACTGTTGGCTATTTGCCTCTCATGCTTTTGCAGTTTGACATCGAAGGAAGCTCCCAGTTAGTCTACTCTAATGACGTGCTTGCTAGGGAGGCAGTAGGTCTATTCTTGTTCACCCAACACACCCACCACCCTTTTTTTACGTTCATTTGGGATCTGGATCCCACACGGGGATGAAAGTTTTTTTTAACCACCTGTTTAAATGGTTTTTCATGGTATGGACTGGAGGCTGGGGCTTTAGAATGTATCTATGTAATTGCAGATTGTTGCCATCCGGTATACCATGTTTTGTCTTATTTATGTACGTGTTGCAACCTGGTATACTTCTCCATGTTTTGACTCATTTATGTACGTGTTGCAGTCTGGCATACTTCTCTGTGTTTTGTCTCCTTTATGTAAGTGTTGCAACCTGGTAAACTTCTCCATATTTTGTCTCATTTATGTAAGTGTTGCAACCTGGTTTACTTCTCGTGTTTTGACTAATTTATTTTAGTGTTGCAATCTAGCATACTTCTCGGTGTGTTGTCTTATTTATTTAAGTGTTGCAATCTTGTATACTTCTCGTGTTTTGTCTTATTTATTTAAGTGTTGCAATCTGATCTAATTCTCCGTCATTTGTCTTATTTATTTAAGTGTTGCAATCTGGATTAATTCTCCGTCATTTGTCTCATTTATTTAACTGTTGCAATCTAGCAGACTTCTCTGTGTTTTGTGTTTTTTATTTAAGTGTTGCAATCTAGCATACGTGTCCGTGTTTTGTCTAATTTTTTTAAAGTGGTGCAATCCTGTATACTTCTCGTGTTTTGTCTTATTTATTTCACTGTTGCAGACTGGCATACTTCTCCGTGTTTTGTCTTATTTATTTAAGTGTTGCAATCTGGTATACTTCGCCTGCATTTTCTCCTATTTATTTAAATGACAATGACTAAAAGATGGAGAATAAATTGTTTAATTGTAACTACACAAAATAGTTCGTTGCTATTTATTAATTTTGTCATGTGTGTAAAATAGTCTGCTTCTAAGTGAAGTGCGATTCGTTTGATTGTCTTTCTGTGTCAAATTTATTGCACAGTAACAAGAGTCATTTCACAGTTAAATCATACAAAGACTTGCTTTAGTAATGCAGAGGCTAAAGGACATGAAGAACCTATAGCACGGCAACTGCAACCAAGTCGAAGTAGAAATTCTGAGATCGTATTTCTTTCACGTAGCAACTCATGGGTTACACACAAATCGACCGACGCGGCCTAGGGTATTGGGAACGTCAGTTGGTGGTCCAAAGCCATGGCCAAAGGGTGCAGAGACATGATAATACAGCAGATAAGGGACACCAAAATGCCATCTCACTTAGTCTATAAAAAATCGGATCTTTTGAACTGAAATGCTGCAAAAAGATTCTTAGAATAGCATGGACTTAGAAGAACACTAGGTGGCAAAATGATACCTGACAAGATCAGTGTTATCAAGACAATTTCTGAGCAAGTGTAAAATGAGGAAACGCGAATAGATAGTTACGGTCTGAAGAGAAACTTTCACGGGAGGGACTAGGAAATCTGACCGACACTTTACACTCAGAAAAAAGGCAAGTTGACGGACAAATAATCAATCTGGGACTGTGAACTGCGGAGCTACCTGGCTTTTTAAAATGAAGACGCAGCGCCTATGGGAATGTTCCGAGTGCTGTGATGTTCTTAACTCTACTTAAGCAAGCAACAAACTTTCATTTAGCACGTCTCGAGAAGCTTAAAGCTCTTGTTCTTTCTTCTGATAGCAAGAGGTCCTTATCCACATAGGATTGCAGGTAACACATGGCTGGTGTCGCTGTTCAGGGTGCGTTAATCATAACTTCTTTGAAGTTTAAATGGGGTATGTGGGATCTGCCTTGTTGGTCAGCTATCTGGATTGACGTTTTAATCGTAGGGTAATACCGTGCCTATGTGCAAGTATTTCATCCGCAAAAATCAGTATTCTTCCAACTCCTGATGCTTCTAGGCTTGCAATCTTGCTCGTATACACGTTAAAGAGCACAGGTGAGATAGTGGACCCCTGTGGCAGTCCTGAGGCCAAACTGCATGGTTATGAGGTCCATGAGCCCAGTCGAAGAGCAACCCGACGTGAATTCAGGACAGCTGCAATCCAATTCACGGCTGACCTCCTTCTCCTTCAGTGCAGTCATCAAGATGTCGTATCTTACTTATTTATAAGCATCCTCGAGACCCAGTGCTACCGCTGT